TGTGTGTGTGTGTGTGTGTGAGTGCGTTTACTTTGAGATGGTTGTGTGTGTCCATGAGCTTCAGTGTGGACTCCCTCTGACGGCCGAGTCGAGCTCCTGTCGGATCTTAGCTCGAATGTTTTCCTGTGCTAACAGTGTCTTTATGGCCTCTACCTGCGTCCGCCTGCGCTCTCTTTCCCGATCCATTCTGCTCTGAGCAAACACACACCCTACGGCACAAACAACACACACATCATCATCTGACAGGGTTACACACACACAAACGCAACAGCGTGTTCATAACACTTTCAGAGTTCATAAGCTGTTCTGACGGCTCGGGCTTCAGGCCTGCAGGTCATGTGCAGTCAATCTGAGCAGTTCACTGTGATTGTCAGATGTGAAGATGCCAAAGCAACGGCCTCCGGACACTACAGCAGCATGTGTGTGTGTGTGTGTGTGTGTGTGTGAACCTGTGTGCTTGTTCTCTGAAGGATCCGTCACAAATAAAGTCAAACCGATAGTGATGCAGGACGGGGGGAAGGCAGGAAAATAAAGTTCAGTTCGAGTGCTGTGTGCGTCTTCACTTGGCTTGTGTTTACTCTCTGCTCCACTTCAGCTCAACTCAATCGCTCTCCGCTGCGCTCTGGCGCCCCCTGGCAGGTGGAGGCGTGTTGCGGCTCTCCGCAGGGTCCGGCTCAGGGCTCACGCGGTCATTTGGTGGTGTTGAGTTTGCCGGCGGCCCCCGGCAGAGCCTCGTCTTTCGGCGCGGTGCCGTTCTGTTGAGTTTCCTCCATGTACTGCTGCACGGCCCGCAACACGGCATCTTCCACCAGCTGCTTACTCAGACTCACTAACTCCTCATCCTCCGGGGCTTTCTTAACACCTAACACCCCCACACACACACACACACACACACACACACACACACACACACACACAGAGGCATCAGTAAAAGCTGTCTGTCAAACACACACAGACTCAGTGAGTGTCGCTCACACAGGGTTACAGGTGCTAATGAGAAACATCACAATTACCAGCTAAAGCTCTCTTTCTCAGCCTTCAGACTTTCTGTTCATCATTAGATTCATCTAAACAGGAATAATGGAGGGATGCACAGATATTGACACTCTGACTGATGCCAGTAATTATTCAGCTGATAACCCATAAATACATTACTGTTCAAAACTTTGGAATAAGTACGATTTTTAAATGTTTTTGAAAGATGTCTCTTCTGCTCACCGAGGCTGCATTTATTTGATCCAAAATACAGTAAAAACGGTGAAACATGATTATAATTTAAAACAGCTGTTTTCTATGTGAATATCTGTTAAACTGTAATTTATTTCTGTGATGCGCAGCTGTATTTTCAGCATCATTACTCCAGTCTTCAGTGTCACATGATCTTCAGAAATCATAATAATATGCTGATTTGCTGCTCAAGAAACATTTCTGATTATTATCAATGTTGAAAACAGTTGTGCTGCACAATATTTTTGTGGAAACTGTGATGCATTTTATTTTCCAGGATTCACAGATGAACAGAAAGTTCAAAAGAACAGCATTTACTTTTGTAACATTATAAATGTCTTTACTGTCACTTTTCATCAATTTAATGCATCCTCGATGAACAAAAGTATTAATTCCTTTAAAAAAACTATACTTATATATAATTGTCAATGTTTAGTACTTTTGTTTTAAATTTGACAGTAAAATAATTTACTGTAATTTTGACGTCTAATATCATAAATATATAACATTTTGTATGTTACACTAGATCAACAATCTAGATTTGTACTTGTCTAGTTTAATGCTTAAAGTAGGAATCAAAGCATTACTTTAACGTTTGTTAGTACTATACTATAGTACTTCTAATGACTCACTGTTGGCTAAAACGATACAGTAATCTGTGATACTATCTGCTTCCAGTATATCAGCCGAACCAGAGTTAAAATGCTGATTTCTGCTAATAATTTTTGCTCAGCGATATATCGTGCATCCCTTAAATAATGGATAAGATTGGCTACTGCAAACAAACACAGTGGGGTGAATCTGCGTCTAGTCCCTCAGTAGTAGGGTAGTGAGGGGTTGAAGTACACTACACAGAGACATGAAGGGAGGAACACGTACTTGTCCGAGTGGCACGCTGCCTGCTTTGCAAAAGATCTGCAAGATAAACAACACATTAACAACCTGAAGTGATTTCCTCACACTCTGAGCACCATAAACCATCAGAATCACACAGATGGTCTGATGAAGCAGGACGAGACGCTGCTGATTCACCGTCATGAGCGCATGCTTCGGTCTCAATCACATCACCGCAGCTGATTGATGGCTTCGAGATCATGTTTCGTAGATTTCGGCACCCATTCACTGCAGAGCATCCATTGCTGAGACACTGATGCAGTGCTACATTTCTACAAATCGTATTCCTGAGGAATACATTTTCATTTTTGGGTGGACTATTCCTATAAACAATCACTGTTGTAAGGTCAGTTCAGAGATATATTCTCTAAAAGCAAATCTTAATATCCTGACGCAGATCCTCAAGTAAGATTTCTGATGTTTTCAGATGTTTAATCACTGGTTCGGACACTGATATGTGGGCGTGTAGAATGAACGTCTGTGTTTCTCTGATGGCGAAGCCTCATCTCCTGTCTCCTGAGGAACGGCCTGATTCATGCCATCTCCTGCGGTCATGTGATGGAGAGGCTGGTCCTAGATCAGTGTTATGAGCCTTCTCACCTCAAATAACCAGTGTGTGCATTTAGGACGGTTCCAGTGAAACTCCACCTGTTACTACATAACCTGCCACAAATAAACATGCCCTATCATGGTTTCTGCTTTTCACAACTCACATTTTTAATGTCCAAATTTGTTTAATTCATCTTTATACAATTATAGGCTGCTTATAATGCTCATATAAGCCAAGTATATAACCAATCAAGCTTTTTTGTCCGTGTAGTCAGATGGTTTACATGGTGAGAAGCTACTGGTGTTGACAGCAGTAGTTTAAAGGCGCTGGTGCACAGCTGGTTTTTGGTTCTCCTGTGCAAGTGTGACATGTTTCCAGAATGGCCACCGGCTAATAGAGGATAAAGTCATCTATCTTTACAGCCATCTAATGCACTGGAGTGAATCTGATTGTCAATCAGCGCCACCTACTGTACTGGAGTGAAGCTGGTTCTCGTTCAGCCTTGCTCCTGGTGTGAACAGTCCTTTCATCTACAATTTGGCTCTTGGTCTAAGAGACCTTAATTAACAATTCTCTGCCATATTCAACTTGAATTGACAATTGTCAGTATTTGCCATTTTTTAATGATCAGTATCTGCCAATAGGTTTTCTGTTTGGCTGATCAGTGCTGGAAGCGGGACTTTTATTTTGACAGCACTGAGACTGTCAGACACACAGGTCTACTTCTCCGTCTTCATTAGTTCACTGTCTGTCTTTAACAGTTCTGGTTAATAAATCATGAGACATGAGGTTAAACAAATAAAGTAAATGGTAATTTCTTTATTTGTTAAAAATACGATAATAGGATTACAGTAGGAAACTCCAAATGATTTATTTCTAATTTAGTAACTATTGTGTTAATTATAAATTTAATTGTATTGTATTTGCTATCTTTAAATGAAACGGTATATTGTCAGGAGGCGTTTACATGCCACTGTTTTCAACTAAAAACGGAAAACTTTTTGTGTGTTTTGGCTGTTCGGGAGCATGAAAACACAAACTTTTGAAAACAAGTTTCAAAGTGGCAGTTTTTGAAAATTATACCTTGATTATAAACTACAAAAACGCTCATTTGTGAAAATAGTGACGTCATGTTCATGCAAATTACGTGTTCAGTCTATAGGTATGTGTGAGTTTCTTTACAAAGTGACGTCGCCAACTACTGGCCTGGCATGAATGATACAGCGCTTTTAGTCATTTTCATGGATCTGTGTGAACAGGGCTCATTTTTGACAAGGTTGTCGTCTGTACGCAAAGTTTTTAGTCCACCGTTGTTGTGCAGACGTACCCTGATATACATCAGCCTGCTCTGGCCATCATAAAATCCCTCTCGGTTGACTACTACTGCTCGGACTGTAGCGCCTTTTCATTTTGTTTGTTTGCGTGAACAAGACTTAAATCTGGAAACAGATCTTTGTTGGTGATTCATAATGATTTTTTGTTTAGTCTCAAATCTGAAACTTTGGCAAATCAGCCTCGGCTCAAATGAGATCCATAAAAATTGTGAATCATACACAGTCTTGTCCAACATTTTGATGGTGAGCCACTGAGAGCTCAGTGAGTTTGGGAGCTCTTATCTGTGTGTGCTGTATCTCTGGAGAACCGCACAAGGTAATCAAATCTGACCTTACACACACACACATACATACATACACACAGACACACACACACAGACACACACAGACACACACACACACACACGAACACTTGTGTACTTTCTGAGCTCAAGGCTGGCGTTTCTGCTCTGATGTATCACCGTCCTTCAGTTCATCTCAACAAACAGAAGACCACACACACAGCATAGGAGAAAAGTCATCAGCCTCTGTTCACACACTGAGACGTCTTTAAGAGATCAGCATCAAACACTGTTCCTCAGGTTGGGAGTGTGTGTTTGTGTTCCTCATCTCCAGGACATCAGACAGCGGCGTGTGAATGTGGAGGCAGCCATGCTGTGTCTGTGTGCCAGTGTCTATTATTTATATGCATCCCACTGCTTTAACACAAAGCTCCGGCTCTGAGAGCATCACACACACACACACACACACACACACACACACACACACTGAGCTCTTGCTGTGACCCGTCAGCCTCATAAACAAACTGTATTTCTAAGCCCCATGAGCGCTTCCCATGCATACAGTGTGCATTCCTCTGCCGCTCTCTCATGCGCGACTGACTGCTCCTCACCATCATGTGAGCTCTAAGTAGGGCACGAGCTTTAGTGCACACCATGTGCTGCAGTCCCTGCCGTCAAACTGAGGCTCATCTAAACAATGACGGATTATGCTCCTGCAGGGCCCTGCGGCCGTGTAGAGGCCCCTCTCTGTCACGATTGTGAGATGCATCCTAATGTCAAACTAACATGGAATTAAGCTGCCTTCCATGCAAATGGGAAGCTCGTACCCAACGTAACAATGAAGTAGCCTCCACTCTTAAAATAAAGCTTCCACAAGGAGGTTTTCACAGTAATTCAATAGAAGAACCATTTTTGGTTCCCCAAAGACCCTTTCAGTGAACCGTTTTTAAAAGAATCATTTTTTTTTTAAACTTTTAGGCTAATAATTGAAAAAAACTTTCCACTGTAAAGTACCTCTTGTGCAATGGAAAGTTTCCATGAATGTTATAGGTGCTTTACAGAACCATCAATGCCAAAAAAAGAACAAGATTTCTATCTATCTTTAAATATATTGATAAATAGAAAACCCAAAAACTACATCTGAATTCAAAATAATGAAAATTATTCATTTCTATCACTTATTTATTAGTGCTGTCAAATGATTAATCGTGATTAATCGCATCTAAAATAAAAGTTTTTGTTTATGTAATATTATTGCGACAGGCCTAATCGCATCCAAAATAAAAGTTTTTGTTTACATAATATATATACGTGTGTGTGTACTGTGTATATAAATTATTTATATATAATTACACACACATGCATGTATATATTTAAGAAAAATGTTTTGTTTATATATAAAATATTTATATTTATATAACAAATTATATATGAAAATAAATGTATATATACATGTAAATATTTTTAAAATATATATACACATATGTTTGTGTATTTATACATAATAAATATATGCAGTAACACATACATATATTATATAAACAAAATTTTTTATTTTAGATGCGATTAATCATTTTTCATGGTATCCTAACTAAATGTTTGCCACATAAAACAAAACGTGAAAGCTGATTAAGATGATTTCAAGTAAAATTAAAATGACTTGCAAAACAATTCATAATAATTCACTACAGACTAGCTTTCTGCTCACTGATCTACAGATTATAGATACATTAAAGGAGATCATCTATATTAGAGATCAGTGTTTCTGCCGTGTTTTAAATTGACACACATCACAATTAGACCACTCGTGTATCATCTATAATTAGTTTCCCAAGTTACTTAATTACAATATTCCATCTCCACTTGAAGAGCATATAGGAACACACCATGTGCATGATATACATACTCTACAAGAGACAACAGTGAGCCACGGCGAGCAGACAACAATGTAAAAGATGTTATATGAGTTTTTTCCTCATTTATTTGGACCTAAAGCTACATTTCTCTTTCGACAGCCTGGTGTGCCTTCATTACAGACTGAGAGCCAACTTTAGAATCCATCTGATCATGATCCTAACCCTAAGACCTGAATGTCATTATTACGTATCTAAATGGTACTTCCAGAGCAAATGACCTTCTGTAACGCCCACATGCAGACCACAGTCACTCCCACCTCAGACAGACCCCAATCAGTGCATGAAATCACGCTCATCATCCAAACTCAAGCATCATTCAGACAGCTAGTAGAATCTCAGCCTCGGCGCTCACGACGCGCTCACAAAGCCTCCAGTGCACGCTGATCTCTGAATGCAGAGGCGCTCCGTCCACAGACTTACTGAGCTTATCCTCCGGTCGAGAGAGAGGGAAGCAGCACAGCTGCCCCATCACGCCTGCCTTTGTCTGGCTTCTCTGTCTTCAAGCACAGGAGCGGTACAATCCAGCCATGCTGCGAGCGGCACAGTGAGCGTGCGACTGTCTCTCGCTCCACTGCGATTATGCAAGCGTGTGTGTGTGTGTGTGTGTGTGGAGGGGGCTGGTGGGAGATTGGCCGGCTGTAGCTCCGCCTCCATCCTCATGCCAGCTTGAATAATTGCTCTGTAATGGACAGCGGCTTATTGCTCTGTGTGTGTGTGTTTGAGCTCAGAGAACTAACAGACCTTAAAACAAGCATCTGCCTGCTGCTCACACATTCATAATCCAGAGCAAGAGATGTCTGTGCAAATAAAAACAGCCGTGTGTGTGTGCTCGATCCATTAATCACAGTTTAATCTGTCATCAAATGCTCTGACAATTAAATTACCTTATATTATAGTTGACAGTGACTGTAAGCCATTACATTACTAATTACACTACCAGGCAAAATAACGACTAATTAGGTTTTACTATTCATTAACAATTCTGGTATTTTCAACAAAGAGCTGGAGAGATTCATTTGGTGCAGAGGTCAGGACCTGAGCTACAGGAAACACACACACACACACTCTCTCTCTCTCTCTCTCTCTCACACACACACACACACACACAGACACACACACACACACACACACACATACA